TAATTCGGATTTGATGATAACCCGACCTCAAATCAATCTTTGAGAAAACACAAGCACCCCTCAACTGATCAAGCAAATCATCTATGCGAGGGAGAGGATACTTGTTCTTAATGGTAACCTTATTCAACTGACGGTAATCAGTGCACAATCTCATGCTACCGTCCTTCTTCTTAACAAATATGACTGGTGCTCCCCACGGGGACACACTTGGCCGGATAAACTGCTTAGCCGAAAGCTCTTCAATATGTTTCTTTAACTCGGCTAATTCCGGTGGTGACATCCTATACGGAGCCAGAGAGATAGGCCCCACACCAGGCAATAGATCAATCGTGAACTCAATCTCTCTATGAGGCGGAAGTTGTGGAATTTCATCTGGAAACACATCCACAAACTCCCTCACCACGGAAATAGTGCCAATCTCCTCATGACTTCCGCCTACTAAACCCCCCACAAAGACATATCCCAATGCCCCGGCCCTCAAAGCCTTTCTAACCTGCAACACAGATAGATATGGGGAAGAACTAGTAGCAGAATCATCAGCATCAAGCACAATCCTTTTACCGCAGCAGTCTATCATAGCACAGTTCTTTGACAACCAGTCCATACCCAAGATAACTTGAAGGCTGATCATAGGTAAACAAATAAAATCCAGCACGTAATCTCGGCCTTCATATTTGAATTCGACATCTTTACACAACACAGATGTATAACACTCCTCTCCAGTAGCTGTAACCACTTTCATTGGAGGGCGAATGTCATACATTTGCAAATTTAGACCAACGGCCATAAAATCAGACATACAGGAGTGTGTAGCTCCTGAATCAAACAACACTTCAACATCCATATTATCAATGTAAATTGTACCTTTCACTAGATTCGGAGCCTTCTCCGATTGTTGACGGTCCATGGTATATACTCTACCAACCGTCTGAGACTCTAGCATAGGTTGAACAACAGAGACCGGAACAGCAGTAGCTTGAACTGCCATAGTCCTTGCTTCATTCTGAGGACACTGCCTGGAGTAGTGACCGGATCTTCCACATTTAAAGCAAATCACCTCACCAGTAGCACATGGACCTCTATGCTCTTTGCCACATCCCTTGCACTTGGGAGGAGGTCCTCTATCAACAAACTTCTTCTGAGTACCGGGTTTTTTGAACAAGTCAAAGGGCTTATTCGCATTCAGCTTCTTGCCTTGCACCTTCCTGTTCTTCCAATAACCTGAGCCCGTTGCTTTATTGGAACTAGGTGCCTGGGCCTCAGAAGACTTCTTGGCTTGGGACACCTTATACACTTCTTCCACCTTTCTACACTGGTTTACAAACCGACTGAACTCTCGAATGTCACAATTTGACATCTTCCGAGACATCTTCTCATTAAGACCCCATTGGAACTTGGAGGTCATTTCAGCCGGGGTGGGTAAGGCTCGCCCATAGTTGGCGTATTTCACCAACTCATTGAATTTTGAGAAGTATTGGTCAATAGACATCGACCCTTGCTTGAGATCGTTATACTCATTCTGCTTTTGTTCCCTAGCCTCTCTAGGGAAGTAGTTATCCAAGAACAATGTCTCGAATAACCGCCATGTGATCTCCCGACCTTCAGCTTCTAATGGCTGCACGGTATTTGTCCACCAATCTTCTGCTTCCTCTTCCAGCATATAAACAGAGTAAGCCAACTTCATTGCGTCAGGGCACCTCATCACCCTGAATATCTTCTCCATAGCTTGGAGCCATTTTGCAGCCGCCATTGGCTCATAACCTCCCTTAAAAGAAGGAGGTTTATGTTTTGGAAAGCCATCAATCTCCTTTCCTCCATTTCATGATCACCGACATTTTCAACTTGAGGTTGACGAACCTCGGTGTGATGACTCAGACTCCCAGAGTGGTGACTACCTTCACCCTCATTGTTACCCACTCCACCCTCTTCCTGTGACGGAGGTGGAGAAGGCGTAGCAGTGTGAGGAGGAGGAGTGGGTTGCCGGTTCACGGGCCTAGGACCCCTCAACGTCCTCAGCTCGGTCATCATCGCGGCCATAGCAGTCCGCGAGTCTTCATTTGTCTTTAACAAATTTTCATTGGCTTGCCTGCTAGCAGCCAACTCTCTCTGAACGGCTGCAAGAGCTTCAGCCACGGGATCAGGCGGTACGCCCGTTGCCCCACGGCCACTTCTAGGCCTCACAAGAGCAGCCAAAACAGGTTCTGGCTGAGCATTGGTGTTTGATGGTCCGGGGTTGTTTCGGTTCCTCGTCATGTCACTACACATGTTACACAAAGAAGTGAGTTGATCAGGCCCACACTTAGTGATCACAAATGCAATAATCATACAGAGTACTAAAACAACTATAAAGCATCGAACACTAAGCATACTCAACAATAGCTAACAGTTATTCCCAACGAAACTGCTCTGATACCATAAAATGTAACACCCCGTTCTAGAACCGGTTTGTTAACATCGCATTATGATATTAAGCGCAGTTACAATCACATGGGTTCAATTAAAATCCGGATAAATTTTTCATTTTAAAACGTACCGAACTTATAATACCCAATTTCGTGATCATAACCATATTACCTTGCGGAAACAGATAAATTAAGCTTAACATCATGTTCATTTCCCATTTTTAAACCATTAATTTACTTCTTGTTTAGTTCAATACTTCTACTATATTGTAGGTTTCTTCATTAGCTACCCGTGGCTTCAAACCGTGCTCAAATCGGAGCACTGTAGTCCAAGTTAGGACAATTTGAAGCAACACAAGAGAGTGTTGGTCACAGGCCCAGCGCGCTTCAGCGCGCTACCGGGCGCTCAAGCGCGCGCTATCGGGCGCTAAAGCCTCCATCTGGGCGCTTAAGCGCACGGAGGCAGTAAGCATCAGGCATTCCAGTGTGGATGGGCGCTTAAGCGCGCAACAGGGCGCTCAGGCGCGCTATCCTGGGCGCTCAAGCTCCCACGGGGACGTTTTAGCGCGCAGAGACAGAAGCATCTCCTCCTTCAGTGGCGAAGGGCGCTTAAGCGCGGACCAGGGCGCTCAAGCGCGCAACCCTGGGCGCTTAAGCCCCACCCTGGGCGCTAAAACACGAGGGGGCAGTAAGCCACCCAACTTTCTGCAGCAAAGGGCGCTTAAGCGCACGCCAGGGCGCTCCAGCGCGCAATCCTGGGCGCTTAAGCCCCCACTTGGGCGCTCCAGCGCGAGGAGGCAGAATGCATTGGCACTCGCAGGGGCAGCAGGGCGCTTGGGCGCGCTCCTGGGCGCTTAAGCGCGCTGCCAGGGAATTCCAATTCCCACATTTCTCAAGTCCAAGCCTAGGGGAAAATGCATCCCCATTACAAACCACAAATGTCCATGCCCCAAAACTAAATCCTAGCACTCATCCAACCTCTCCTCATGAGATTTAGCTAGAATTTGGGCAGCATGACCTTTGTTTTCTCATCGTTTACCAGTTTAAACGAAGAGGGTACCTAATTGATTTTCAGCCCAACCAATTCAACAACTCAATACATAACAAGCATTCATATATTGAATTCCAAGTAGGGCCAGCTAACTACCATGTATGATTTACGCATCGTCATGCAACATACCCACATAGGGAAACACCATCCTATGCCACACCAAATGCATACACATACGTATAACAAAGCATTACACTATTTTATTGCATTTATATACACAATCACAACCTCCACCCTTTCAGGGCTTGGTAGAACAGTCAAGGGAATTACACCCAAGGTCCGAAGGCTTACCTCAATGCTTCAGTCAACCTTTGTTCTTCACCAACAGTTTCAGCAATCAACTTTTACAAACATACACCAATTCCAATGAGCTATTCAAGCTCCATAGCTTGCTCCAATGGTTGATCACTCACGGTTGATCCAAATGTCTCAATCCTAGACATCACAAGGATCCAATCAATCATTCAACTCACTAATTGTTCAACATGCTAGAATACTAACCAATCCAAGCATGAATTTTCCAATATTATGAACAATTATCAAATGACTATCTAGGCTCATTTCCACCGATTAAATGACATTCCTAGCATTTTCCATAACATGCTCTAAGCTCCATTCTTCCTAGAACATAGCTAATTCAACTACATTTCATAAAAATCCCAATTTACTATTCACAAACCCTAACTCATGCAAATTTCAAGGAATCATGAGGTTCAAGGGTTAGAATCTTACCATCAATGGTCACACAACCAAGGATTGATGGCTCCTCAAGCTTCAATGGAGGTAGAAACTCTCAAAACCCCAATTTTCACCAAAGGGCCGAATTTTTGAGAGCCAATATCCCTCTCCACAATGCTCCCCACTCAAAACAAAGTTAGGATTATGAAAGAGGGGAAGATTCTAAGTGATTTAGGCTTTTGAATCGCTCCAATCGGTTGAAAATCACACAACCTAGGTTTTCTTTCTCTCTCTCCCTCCCTTCCTCTTCTCTTCTCTTCTTTCTGGGCGTCGACGGGCTGGGTGGGAAATGAGGGTCATTTGGTGACTTAAGTCACTTAACATAGGTTAAGTGGCTCTAAGCGAGTATTGGTTCGTCTATCTATTTAACTCCAATAATTACCAAACTTTACCCAAAAGTCTGGAATATTATTCTAGGAATATTACTATTTTTATTTTTATATTTTGGGTACTTTTGACAGTACCCATTTATACCCCTTAATTTTCACTGAGTACACTTTTTAACTCCAAAGTGACTCAGGTTCATTTTATTAAGCCTCATACTTAATTTCACCCAGTAAAACATGTTTAATTAATTAATTACACTTGATTTCCTAATTAATTAATATGGGCTATTATAGACTACTTACATTTGCTTCTTCTTTTGGGCTATGCTTCCAATCCAGACATTGAAATTCGGAGTCAAGTGCTATGTCTAACATTAAAAAATGAGTGAAATACATAAATTCACGGCAGTTTCATATAATTAGCTATAGTTATTTGATCATGAGATATGCTAGCAGGATTAGTAAAAAGAAGAAAAATGCTACCAGCTGCACCAGTTGGGTTTTAATCTTATCCTCCTTTCTACAAACGAGCACATTCCTTGAATTCCTTTTATCTGAATGACCAATTTTATTCTCGGTACCTTCGTTCTCAGCAACGGAATCATTGTTGATGGGGTTACCAACCACATATTCATTTGAATTGCTCGTTTTATCACTTTGTTCTGCCTTATGTTTATCTACCCTCATAGTACTTGAAGTTAGCCCCATTATTTTCCCAGACCTTGTTTCTTTGTCATCTATCACATCCTCAACTGCCTCTGGCATATCTTCATAGGTAGATAGTTTAACTGAATCACTGAAAGAGACTCTCTTCATTCTCCGTATTATTGGTTTCTCTATTGATTTGGAACAACTCTGCATCTTGAATTTCTGGGATAGGTTGGTGACTGAACTATCATCACTATTCCTTGGCTTTGATAGTTCTGATGCAACCATTGACATGGAAAACCTACGTACAAGGCCAGGGTTGCTCCGATAATTTCTACCCTTTGATGAAATATTGTTGGAGTAATCTTTGGTTTTCTTCCATCTCTTTATTTTACCAAGAAAACTAGAATTGTTGCTGCTGCTACTTTGACTGCTGGAAGGGCTTTCAAGGGTAGTAGTTTCAATTTCATCACTCTCTTCAAATGTGGCATTAGAAGAGTTGCTTTCAAGCTCAGGATCAAATGTTAATGCATGAGTTTTCCCATACAATTCTTTGCTTGAATCCTGGCTGCAATCTAGTCTTGAGGCCTTTCTACTTTGTTTTTTATGATCGTGGACTTCAAACCTCAAGCATGTGTAAAGCCACCGTTGGTACACAAGTTCCTGGACCATGTCAAATCTGTTTCTCTGCAATATTTCAACTTGTTCTGAAAGTTCTTCTTGGACATGCCGTAAACCACTTATTTCTTCTTTTATCTGGGACACTGTTTCCTCCTGCAGAAACTAAATGTAAAGGGTAAAAATAACTCATGGCCAGTGCTAAACTACTCTTGCTCAAGATATTTAAGTTCGAACGATGGTAGAGAAAAATAAAATAAAATTCCTAGACAACTATTACTTACCATTCTTAAAGAGATTTACTTTCAATTAATCATTATTAAAGGGACAATAATTATTTGTGTCACCACTAATAAAAAAAACTAGTTTTAAGTTATTCAATAAAATCTATATGGTATTTCACCCAATAATTTAGAATTTGTTAAAAAGTGCTAAAGAGTGTGTTATTAGCATTTTTCTATGTCACATTAACTCCTATCACTTTAATAATCATATAGTAAGTATTACATCAATTTCTGGAATTCTAGGAAAACACTTTCTTTCTTTTTTTAAGATTTTCTGTGTATCTCTATTTCGGTCAAGTAACCAATTTTTCTAAAAGTTTAAGCGGTTAGGTCCTAATTTAATGTGCATGAGAATAATGCATAAATAATATTTGCATCCTATTTCTTCTAGGGTGGAGTGTTCCTACCTCTGTTCTGATTCTTGCCTGGACTGTAGCCAACTCAATTCCAATCTCCCTCTTTTCCAATTCAAGCTCTTTGTTTCTCCTCTTCAGTTCCAAAACTTCTAGTTCGATGTCTTGAACATCATTAAGTTTCTTATTCACCGTAGCATTTCTACCTGAGCCATTATACTTCTGTAGTTCAGTTACTTGCTGTTGGAGCATCAATATCTGCTCCTTGACAGGGCTTCCATTGACTTCTTTCTTCCATTGCATCTCACTTATCATTTTCTTTGCAATATCTAGTTGCTTTTTAGACAAAACATCCTCTCTTATTTTTTCTTGAATAATTTTCCTCTCTGACTGCAAGGAAGCAATGATTGTTTTGAGAGAGTCCAATTTTGCTGTCTTTTTTTCTAATTGCCTTTGCATTTGGGCAATGGCTGATTTCCTTTCCTTCAGACCTTTCAATTCAAGAAATTTCCTTTCAAGGTTTACCTCCCCCTGCTTGTAGTCCTTTACTAAATTCTGTAATAGCTCCTTTTCAGTAACATAATCCATTTTTTCACCACCTATTAACAGCTCCAAATCCTCAAATTCTCCTGTTAACAGATTTTGTGGCATTTCAATTTTAATCTGCTTCTCTTCTTCATTCTGCAGCATATATAATCAATAGTCAGGTTCTTTTAACATTTACTTGAATTTTGACAAAATAACACATGGAGGGTACCTTTATCATATGATTAGCATTTGCAGACATATTTTCCTTCTCTTCAGACTCTTGTTCCAAGTGTGAGTCATCAGAATCACTTCCTTAGTTCGCCAAAGGCATCATAGCAAAAGTATAATATAAATCCAAGAGACAAGGATAAATGAAGTAAAATAGGGAATTTATAATATGGTGTTTAAACTTGTTTTATAGTTTTGTTTCATTTTTAGGGTAACGGTAGTTAAGTTAACAGAGGGAAAATGGTGGTACCTGGATATTTTATTTTACTGTTTCTCCTTGTAGAAAAGATGGTTTTTGTCTTCGAAATCTTAAGTGCAGCAACCGAAGCTACAACCATGAAGCTCACTTTGATTATCATGTAGTCCTGCACACAAGTTCGAACAGTGTGGTTATGAACTGGGAATTTGGTGCACGTCACTTACTGAATCTCGTGAACTCTCACTAGTTTAGCAGTCACTACATTCTTATCAACTCTCCATATAACAAAGCCAAGCTAAAATATCAATGTTAGTGAAGCTCATCACTAACTAGTGGTTGGCTTCATTCAAGACAATGGAATTAAATGCTATTGGAAGAAAATGTTAGCCACTTTTATATTTATTCTACACTTTTTTTCTGGTACGTTGGATCAAAACTCAAAAGACAAGCACTAGTACGACTCAATTGGAGAGTAATGGTCCAGAGTCATTGTTTTTTGTTTGATTCAAAAAAAATATCTGGTAATGTTGCCAAGAAGGAAAAATATTTGCCATAAGTAGCTACGGGTTGAGAAGGCTTGAATAAGCAACTTCCAGCTACCCATGTGATTAGAAAATTCACCCACTTATATGAGGAGTACGATTCTAAAAATGGGTCATTCTTGTTCTTAAATAAATGTATGTGGCAAAACGTGCGATTTTGGAGAACATTCGCGTCATTATTCCATGTCGCTCAAATGTAGAGTTTCGTTGAAAAATGAATCAAGTCGCTTGCAAGCATCTAATTGCAATTTGTTTTGATTTTCAATTTGTTTTGATTTCCAATTTCTTTCATTTTGGTAAGAAATTGTTCAACTATGGACAAAGACTTTTTTTTTTCATGAGTACATCAATCATTGATTATTTTAATATATTTGCTAAGTTTATATTCACACGTTTAAGTACTGTAAAATGTATAGCTTGTGTATCTGTGCAACGGCATAAATAAAAGAGAATATATTGTTGCTCACAAAGAGAGAGAGAGAGAGAGGTTATGTTGTTGAGCTAAGTAACAATGACTTTCTTAAATACATTTTTTTTTGGATATAAGGGAAGAAAAACAACAACTACAATCTGCAAAGCCTTGGGCTACTAATACCCATAGAATCTCTTCCTAAGATGTTCCTACAGCCTAACGGAGGTTCGGTGAAGAGGTGAACATCCCAATCATCAAACATATGGGCATAGGAGATTAACCAATCAGCTAGCATGTTACCCTCTCTATATGTGTGGGTTACAACAGCATTCCAGTCATCATGCAAAAGATTATGGATTCTGTTAACAATGCTAACAAAAGGGTGTGCAAAGTGGCATCCTTTGGTTATCAGGTTCACCGCAACCAAGGAGTCCCCTTCCACCCAGACGTTTCTGCATCCTATCTTTTTCACCTGAATAACTCCCTCAAGAAAACCTCTTAGCTCAGCAGTTAGAGAATTGCCATGCCCCAATTTGCCACAGAAGCCCGAGATCCATCTTCCAGTATCATCCCTAAGCACACCTCCAAAACTAGAGTTTGAGCCACTATTGATACAGGACCCATCAACATTCACTTTCATCCATCCATTACTAGGGTGCTTCCAACTAACATCATGGAGAGTCTTGTGCCCCTAAGATAAGCCACTAGCTGATAGCAGATTACGAGCTGTGAGGATATTGCAAACATAATTGTTAATCGCCAAAATTGTCCCCCTTTGATGTGGGCTCTTGTCATTGAAGATCAGTTCGTTCCTAGCCTTCCAAATATGTCAACAAGCAACTCCAAAGGTGAGGATAATAGAACAAAAAAATGACAAGATCAAATATCTGAATAGAAAATATTGAAATGGTATTATCTACGGCAATTCGAGGGATGCCGGCAACTCCTAAGCAACAGAGGAAGAAGAAAGCATTTAGGCTATACTGCAAATTTGTTAAAATCCCCCTAATCCTATCTTCCTTGGTAATAAAGACACAAGGCTGACAGAAAGCAAGAAATGGGCTCAACACAGCAGCCCAACAACAAGGAACCCAATTACAAAGGAAATAACAATTAACTAATATATTTCTAGACAGTCACGTGTATCAGCAATCAGCTGATATATTTCTCCATAGCCACGTATATCAGCCACGTGTAGAGACAATGAAGTCATCAAACTTCTGAGGTATCATTTTTATTCTGCTGGGTCTTCTCTTTCCTCTATCTTCATATTCTCTCTCTTTTCTGATTTCATCTTCTGTAACTTCTACATTCTTCCCCTTTCTGCCATAGGATTCTTCAATGTTCATATCAATTTCCTCACCCCTTAAAGACTCGATCTTGCCCTCAAGATCAAAGCTTGGATAGGCCTGGATAAACTCAGACATTGGAACCCAGGTAACGTCTTCCAAGGGTAACCCCATCCACTGCACTAACAACTGCAAGTCATCATCTTTTCTGTTGTTGAGTGTCCGAGAACGCAGCACAGCCACAGGTTGCAACACGGGGTGGTTATCCCAGACCGTGGAGGGTAAGGGCTCTGTATGAACAGCTAGATTTTGACGAAATGGCTTAAGAAGGGACACATGGAAGACGGGGTGTATGCGTGACAGATCTGGTAACCCCAATCGATAAGCAACAGGCCCAATTTTCTACAACACCGGAAAAGGGCCATAAAATTGACGGCGCAACTTCGAATATGTCTGATTGCGCGCAGATTTTTGACGGTAAGGCTGTAATTTCACCAGAACCTGATCTCCAACTGCATAATGAATATCCCGACGATGTTTATCTGCCTGTGTCTTCATTCGTTGCCTGGTTCTATTCAGATTTTCCATAAGTTGACGGAGAATTTGATCACGTTTGGTCAAAAGTGAATCTACTGCCTCTACAGGGGAAGAAGAACTTTCATAAGGAGGGACTGTTGGGGCAGGGCGCCCATACAACACCTGGAAGGGAGAGCATCCAATTGAGGAATGGTATGACGAGTTGTACGAGAACTCGGCCCAAGGAAGGTATTGAACCCACTGTCTTGGAGCTTCCATTGTAAAACATCTAAGATATTGTTCCAAACTTCTATTAGTGACTTCTGTTTGTCCGTCTGTTTCAGGATGGTTTGTTATGCTGAAGTTAAATTTAGTACCACTCAATCGAGCTAATTCTCCCCAAAATTTGCTGACAAAAATTTGATCCCTGTCCGACACAATAGTGCGAGGTATTCCATGATGTCTACATATATCAGTAACAAATACTGAGGCGACCTTGGTTGCTGTAAAGTTGGCTGGTAAGGCAGAGAAATGTGCGTATTTTGACAAGCGATCCACTACTACCATGATTGCCGTTTTTCCTTCAGACACTGGAATACCAACAATAAAATCCATTGAGAGTTCTTCCCATACAACTTTGGGTATCGATAGTGGTTGCAATAAGCCAGCGGGGGAGAGCGGTTGATATTTAGTAACTTGACAGATGGGGCAAGTCCTCACGAACTCTTGCACGTCTGCTTTCATCTTAGGCCAGTAGTAACGAGTACTGATCCGGTGCAATGTCTTCTTAACTCCCCCATAGCCTCCCACTAATGAGGAATTAAATTCATATAGCAAGGTAGTCTTTATCTTCGAAGAGGCTGCCAAAACTATCCTCCCTTTGAAATAGATTAACCTCTCCCTGATAATGTACTGATCCATTCCATGTTCCTATTTTTTGATTTGTTTTACTAATTGGATCAGTTCTTATTTTTGTTTTACTTCCTCCTTCAATAGGTCCAACATTGGGTTGATAACACTCGTCATGCTCATGGATACAACCTCTTTCTTCTCCAATTCCTTCGCACCTTCATGTACACGAGAGAAGGCATCAACCACTTTCTTAACCGCTCCTGGATGGTATTCTATAACATAATCAAAACCCAGCAATTTCACCAAAAATCTTTGCTGTTCAGGAGTTTGAATCACTTGTCCCATCATCTCTTTGATGCTTCGTTGATCTGTACGAATAACAAACCTTCAACCCAGTAAGTATTGCCTCCACTTAGACACTCTTTCTGTGATTGCAAACATTTCTCTAACATATGTTAAGTTTGCTGCATTTTTGTAGATAATTTCCTACTAAAGAAGGCGATGGGTTTGTTACCTTGGCTCAGAACAGCACCGACACCAACACCTGAAGCATCTGTAGTTAGAATAAAGGGTTGGCTGAAGTCTGGTAAGGCTAATACTGGGGGTTTGGATAGGGCTTCCTTTAATCTTTGCATTTCCTTCTCCCTCCCTCATCCCACTTGAAGTTATCTTTTCGAAGGAGAGTTGTTAAAGGAACAGCAATCTGAGAGAACCCTCAAACAAATTTGCGGTAGTATCCAGCTAATCCCAAAAACATGCGTAGTTTTTTTAGAGTATTCGGTATTTTCCATTCCATAATTACTTGTATTTTGCCTTTGTCAAGTCTCACACCTTGAGCATCAACTACATGTCCCAAATACTCCACTTCAGCTTGAGCAAAAGCACAGGTAGATCTTTTTGCATAAAGCTGGTTGGTGCGAAGCCAATTTAAGACCAGCCTCAAGTGCTTCACATGTTCTTCCAAGGATCTGCTATATACCAGAATGTCATCAAAGAAGACAATTACAAATTTCCGGAGAAAGGTTTTAGCACTGTATTCATAATTCCCTAGAAAGTAGCATGGGCGTTGGTAAGCCCAAATGGCATAACCACGAACTCGTAGTGCCCTTCATGAGTTCGAAATGCAGTTTTGTAGATATCTTGAGGGTCCATCCTGATCTGGTGATACCCGAATCTCAAATCCATTTTAGAAAAAACACTTGCACCGACTAATTCATCTAGCATCTCATCAACTATAGGAATTGGGTAGCGATTAGGTACAGTAACCTGATTTAAGGCTCGATAATCTACACAGAATCTCCACG